GGTACGTTCTTTAACTACGGGGATACCGCTCGACGGCCGGTACAGCTCACGCCGAAAGTTACAAGTTCACATTTCACACTTTGATCATACCTAAGTAAGTAAACAAACTTCACTATTCAAGGCATAGACAATTTTATAAATAAACCCACCTGGATACCGAGATGTAGTTAAACGCAGAGTTGAAGGAACAATCGCAAAAGTTCAGCTCGATGAACCTACAACAATTATAATAGCCTATCAACTGACTTTCCAATCCAAGACAACACACACAAGCAATATATACTTAGCCGAAATCATATCGACTAAGTGACTCGTGGATTCCTTGACCGAGTTAAGTACTTTGGAGCAACTACTAGACATGGACACGACTCATATACCTCAGGTAAAACACATAAATCATGCCAACAACAATAAAATCCAATTCGAACCTAGACAACTGATAACCGAGTATTAAGACTCCAAAATAAACAAAGTTCAGAATTCAGAGTTAGACTCAACCAATAAACCTGAAACTTTACCACATCATAAGGCATACAAAAACACATAATCTCACCAAGTTTGAGCCCTAAATTCATCCGGGAGCATTTTTAAATAATTTAAGCAAAAACAGTGTCAAAACCCGACATTAATAGTTCATATAGCTACACTTCGAATTTTAATCCAAAATTTTGACACAACACAGAATACCACAAAATAACATACTCCTAAAAGTTTCAGCTCAAAACTCCAAGTGTACTATTTTTAATGAATTTTATAAAATCCTGACCAGAAACTGATTTAATTAATTAAAATAGCTACAGGTGGAGTTTCGACTTAAAAATTTTACACGACTTACAAAATCATCACAGGACATCACATATAAAATTTCATGACAGTTGGACAATCACACGATTTATCATGAATTAATTACGATTCAGCAATATGCTCGGTTTAGAAAATTCACAATTCGGCATATACACATCGAAACGACCGCAGACCAAAACGAATAACTCAAGCAAAACTCCAAGTACCTGTAACTCCAGGATTTCCACGAAAAATACCACTCGAAACTCAGTTCGACAATAAACCAAAGTGACGGCAATCACTTTGATATCCAAATCGCATTTAAACTCAATATATGGCTCAATTAAAACATCCAAGGCACGAGTTTAACTCTTAATTCTCACGATCAGCAACTAAGCAAGCAATTTAACACAATATCACAAATCACGAAATCAAAATGAGATGAGGTTCGAGCCTAGGTACCAATTTTGGGAAGACATTCGAACGAAAGAATCAAAACAGGGCTGAAACGGCTTCACGAATGCACCGACGGGACTCGACGGCTAAGCTTCGGCTCGCCCGAAAGTTGTGCGAGTGATCAGCGGGTCCGGGCAGCGATGAACAGGTCCCGACAATGATGGACATCAAGGGAAGACGCACGAAAATGCACGAACAGCGGGAACGGAGTTCGGCACGCGGGGCTTGTGTGTACGTAGTTCTGCGGGGCTGCCCCGGGTCGATAGGGACATCAGAAAATGCTCGCGGAGGTGCCAACGGACAGAGGGACTTGCTGGTGGTGCTCGACCGAAACGA